CGTGTGCGCAGACTCTGATTGTTGGCAACGGTGATGACGACCTCGCGTTGAAGTTGGTGTTCGCATTGAACAAAGCGTCTTGAGGAGCACATGTGTTGTCCGCAGCAAATGTCCAAGAACCACGTGTCTTTCCCGGATGGCTCGCTTTGAGCGATTGCTGCGTACGTCGGATTTGGTTGAGGCGAGGCGTACTGTTGTCGAGCTGTTCTTCCGGTGAGTAGTGTGGCGGTGACTCGGTGATGCAGGAGTCAGTCAGTCTTGCCATACAACTGACGGTGTTTCTTGCTCCTTGTGCAGGTTGTCCCGTTGATGTTGTTTGAACTTGAGCGATGGGGTTCGTGTTGTGCCAACACATTACAGTGGCAAAGTCATCGCACTCCCATTCGGCCTACAAGCCTGCTCGGATTCTGGAATTTTGTGGGGAAGATGTTCAACATGTTTTCTTCAAACCCTCAAAGTTTCAGAGTTTTTGAAGCCGTTACCAAGGCATGACAACATTTTATGTTTCAAGACTTATGGCATCCCGGAAGTGTGTGTTACTCCTTTTTGGTAACACCCGAGTTCACCATTTCGGCTGTTGACTCGTCTACCAAGCTTTGATTGGTCTGAAATTTGGTCTGAAAGTCCTTTGCCCCGCTGTGCAGGTGGTCACAAAGTTTCAGAACGATCCAACATGTGAGCATTGCGTGACAGCTGCCGAAATTCACTGTTTCGTAGTCATGGTGCACTGTTGGCAGCATTTCCCTTGCCACCCTTTCATTGTTGTCATGCCAATGGTGCAGGGACAGAGAATGAGACAAGAAGTACAGGTGGTCAAGTGGGAATATACAGCCCTCCTTTTGAGAAGTGTGGTCTTCCTGGAAACAGCTTGCAAGAGGGTGCAAGTGGGAAGACAAGCTGACTCATGTTGGCTTGACTCACTATTGGTAGCCTTGAGTACAGCTCTGAACATCCAAGTGTGGTTGGCTTTGTTGACCTAGCTAGGACGTTTCCCATCTTTCTCTAGCCTTTCTCCTCTAGGACTCAACCTTCTCTGAGTTCCCAGGACGACCTAACCCCTTATGAGTCCCCTATGCAATGTTGTACTCACCTCTTCCTTGCATCAATGAGAATACACGTTTTTCAGCCGAGCTTACGTTTTCGTTCACACCCTAGCGCATACACCTCTAATAAAAGCAAGCAATACACCATTGGAAAGCAGACACCTAAGGCTAACTGCTGCCCAAGTTTCAGCCTCATGTGTTATTGGAGCTGATCGTGACGGCGTTTTGAACAGAGGCGGTTGGAAGACGTCAGATTCTGCTTAGGCAGTTTGATGGGCATCCGCGACCTCTAAGTGGACTCTTGACTATAACAGTTCGCTTGTATTGAAGCGACTTGGCTGCTTGAAGGTCGAATCTGTCGCTGTGGCGGTGTTGACTGTTGTCGATTCGGGCAGTGTGTGTGCGGATGTCCTAACGTCTTGCAGAGATGACAGAACGGAGGTACGGGCTTTGGTTGTTGTCAGCTGTTGTTGTTGTTGTAGCGTCGCTGAGTGTGGAAGGCGAATTCTGGTACTGACGTCTTCCTCTTATGCCTTTCTTCTTGGAGGTCCATGTCTTGTTGTTCGGCATGAATTTCAGCGCAAAGCGCTGTTTCGGAGATTCTTGCGTGAGCTCGGAGAATGGCCTTTGTGGCGCGCCATTGAGGACCGAGGCCGCCGATGATAACTGCCACGAAGGCGTCTTCAGATATTGACCCTCCACATCGAAGGAGTTTGTCGCGCAATTCGCGACATCGACTGATATACGCCATCCCTTTTTCGCCCGGTTTCATTTCGACTGTTGTCAGTTGCGCCATTAACCGACTTTGATTGACGCTGTCTGTTGCTTGACACAGGTTTTTCATGTGGTTGTATGCGAGCTCTGCAGAGTTGCCGTATCCCCGGTAAGACGGTATATTCTGCTGCTGATTCGGAGTGATGTTTCTCAGTAGTATTGTGTACGCCATCATTGACTGATACGTGTACTGCTTCTTGTCGTACTGTGTGCCATGTGTTGGGTATGGCAGAGACCCGTCGAAGAAGCCAAGGATCTGCGCGCCTTCCATCATTAGCTCGAACTCGAATGACCAGGTGAAGAAGTCATTTCCGTCGAAAGGCCTTGTCGTTTGCAGTTTTAAGACGTGCGCGAACTGCGACTGAACTTGAAGTGCGTCTAGTGTCTTCTCTTGTCCAGGTGCAGGCTGCGAGTGTGGCATAAAGCTGACGGAGCCGTGCTGAGGCCCGTACGGAGCAAAGGTAGGTTGCTGCTGTTGATTTCCACGTGCGTAGGATGAGCCGTCGGGGCTCATGGGCATCACGTCGTTGTTGTTATTGCTGTTGTTTGACTGCGCAGGTGCCGACTGCTGGTGTTGCTCGTAGAAGGACATGAAGGAGAAGAACTTCTCCATCATGTCTTGGTTGAAGCCCGCAGGCTTATTCGCAGGAGTTTCAGTGGACCCTGCTGCTGGTCTTGTCGCCGTGCCCTGCTCTGTCTGTAGGCCAGAGGCAGGAGGTGGATTAGGGGTAGTGCCGGGAGAACCATTAGAGGAACTCCTTTCCTTCTGAGTAGCCATGATTTTTGATGTTGTAGGTATCTTGATAGCAGGCCCTCAGATTCGTTTTGGCGTAAGCTGACTAGTCATCCTTAGGAATGGATTCATGGCTGAGTGGTCAGTGGAGTTGGTAAAAAAAAAACTGATTTTCCAGGGTGTCTAGGAGAAAAAAAGCTGAACGATCAGCGTCGTTTTGCGGTGAAGTCTGATCCACTCATATCTTGTAAGAATTACAATTAACTATCAAGATCATCATCAACCTCGTCATCTTCTTCATCCTCACTACCACTAGAGCCTACATCTTCTACAGCATGGGGTTCATCTACTTCCATAGCTGTCGCTCTACCCTTCTTGCTCGTTTCCCCTTGGGTGGAATTAGGGGCATTAGAGAACGGCTTTCTCTTCTTGTAGCTTCTCCAAATGTCGACCACCTTGTCGAACTGTGGCTCGTACGGCATCAGAGACATGCACATTAGGTCTCCCAGCCGTGCATCTTTGAGGCTGCTCCGCTGCCAGGACTTGATCACGTTCTGGCGAGAGAAGCCCCTTTCGCACTCCACAGTGCTAAGGGGAATCACCGCCACTGCTACCCACAATAGCACCAGGTTGGGGTAACTCCTCCGCCAGTCAGGAGTCTTCAAAATCGCCGTGAGGCCATCGTGGAAAGACCTCTCCCCGTTCGGTGCAGAGGCACGGACGGAGCAGAACAGTCGCAGCTCTTTGTGGGCCTGCCGCTTCTTGATACCTGGCATGGCAACAAGTGGAGGGGGAGGAAACAATGCAAGACAGGGCTTAGTGATGAATTAAGCAAACAAGAAGGAGGTGTATTGGCTCTAAAGAGAAACAATACGATGGCATTGAAACAAACAGAAAACACAACTCCACCTGGCAGTATGTCTTCTGCCTGCTCTGCCTTGAATAGCGTCACCAGCGACTGCAGCCAGTCAACGCATCGTGCGTGACGCTCCAACTTGCTCTTCGGCCACTCATCCGGCAGGAACAGTCGGACTCCCGACAATGAGTCCAAGTCACTCAACCGACTCTCCAGGTTCGCCACGATGCGCTCGGCAAAGTCGGTGCAGGCCTCCACATAGGCGTCGTGATCACACGGGCCTTCGTAGCCTTTGACCTTGTCCTCGTGGAGCGTGAACTTGAATGTTGCTGGTCGCCCATCAAAGTCGGGCCCCTCCACTGTCACCTCACGGTCCTTTCCGGGGCCGTAACGCTCGATGAAGGGCGACAGCCAGCGACTGAAGCCTCCGCCAAAGATTAGGAAACGTGCGTGCGTTGTGCAGCGCTGTTGACTTTCCATTCGCCAGAGAGTGATGTGGTTGCCCAAACAACCAATCAGGAGCGAAGATACCTTCGCGATAAGACAGCAGTGAAGTGAACATTCGGGAATAATGCCATTCCCGAATGCGTTGGCAAGGAATCTTGCCATTTCGGCGTGATTGACGGAGGCGGGGTCGAAGCAGTGTACCTAGACGTCCGGAATTCAGGGCTCTTACGCGAATCTCCACTACAGGGATTTCAGCCCAACCCTTTCTTACAACTCTGACGATACAGCGTAGCCTACTGGAAAAAAACTGATATTTCAGCAAAAACCGATTAAAAAAAACTGAACTTTCAGCAAACACTTAAAAAAAAAAAAACTGACACAGCAGCCTCAATATTCCCCCACCACTGAAATCACAGCCTTTTTACCCCTGATCAGCCTTTTTTCGCTGACTTCTGAGGGCCTGCTTGACAGTGGAGTTTGTCCTGACTGCTCTCATACCATGTTGGACTGAGAAAAGCCCCTAGGATCTTTTACAGGAATAAACTCCTGGTAGGACTGATGTAATAGCAAAAGCGTTTAATAAAGAGTTGTGAACCACCTTGCGCTAGTATGTGAGGGCAAAGTAGATTGATTAAGACAAGGAGATACAAGATTATATAAGAGTACAAGGAATATGAAGAGATGCAGTTATAACTACTTTACCATTGCTGTTGCGGTTTGATACAATGACGACTCGGGCAACTGCTCCGTAACGAGTCAGTTGTGTGTCCTTGCTGTCGCGCTGTATTTGTCAGGTCAAAGGTCGCTGACCTTTGACTTTCGCGTAACCTCCAGGCTCCAGCAGTTACTTCAACCTCCGAGGGTTGACTCGCTGGTGCTTCGATATGTTTCGCTTCGCTTGTGTCTTGGTGTTTCGACACGACAGAGGCGCTTAAGTTAGTTGTTTCCAACAATTGTGTGCGCACATAGTAACAGAGTGACTGCAGTGCCGTACAGCCAGCCACCCACCCAGTACATGCTCATAGTGGTGTGGGGAACAGCTGGTCCGTGTATGAGGCGTATGGGGTTTAGGGTCAAGAAGCATTGCAGCACCATCTAGTCAGTGCGGCACAGGCAGTCAGTGCGGCACAACCAGAGCCACAGCCAGTCAGTGAGCGCGCATGGCAGTATACGGCACGACGCCGCCCACCACATTGGGCTGGTCGTCCTGAGCGATGCCCGTGTCGCCCGCCCGGCTGCGGCTGCTGCGCCCTGCATCCGTGATGCCGCGTGCATGGTCCACCGCCAGTACTAGCGCGATCAGTGGCAGCAGCATTACCGCCAGGATGTAGAAGAAGGACGCCCGTAGCTCCCCCGTGGCCTGGAACGATAGTGGAGAAAGGGAAGGAGGAAAGGGATTGTAAGGGCAGGGTGGCATGTGAGGGAGGCATGGTATGTGACGTGAATGGTATGTTGCTGCACAATGATAGCAACAATGAACAGGCCGAGCCAGGGAGAGCCCTTGTTTCTGACAGAGTGGAGCGAGAAGAAGGCACCCTCTCCCTTCCTCCTCCCATAACCCTCTCATCAAAACAACCCTTCCCATTCCCCCCCACCGCACTCCACCGCATCCCACCTGTACAATGACAGCGACAATGAAGGGCCCGAGCCAGGAGGAGCCCTTGTCGCTGACGGAGTAGAGTGAGAAGAAGGCGCCCTCTCTCCCCACGGGGATCATATCAATGAACAGTGTGCGCGAGTACGACGACAATGGCCCCAGCAGCACCCCGAACCACCCCGCAAACACATACAGCTCCCACGCTGACTTCAACCCCACACCGCCGTCCGGTGTCAGGTACCCGAGCAGGCCCCAGAGCGGGAGGGGAATCATCCCCGCTATAAGCACGCAGACCATGGCTTTATTGTGCAGCCCGGACACGCGCTGCAGCCAGAAGGCGAGTGGCGTGCCGAGGAGCGCGAAGAGGAAGACGCAGCAGGCGAGCAGAACAGTAGCTCCCGTGGAGAGGCAGAGCTCCCTCTGGCCAAACAGCACGCCGATCTGCATGATGGTGGTGTAGCCGCCCGCATACACACAGTAGCACACCAGGAACGCAAACAAGGTGAGTTTTGAGTCGACTACAGGAACCAACACAAAAGCCATCTGCATGACACAAAAGTCATCTGCATGACACAAAAGTCATCTGCATGACACAAAAGTCATCTGCATGATGGTGTAGCCGTCCGCATACACACAGTAGCACACCAGGAACGCAAACAAGGTGAGTTTTGAGTCGACTACAGGAACTGACACAAAATGCATTTGCATGACACAAAAGTCACCTGCATGATGGTGGTGTAGCCATCCGCGTACACAAAGTAGCACACCAGGAACGCAAACGCGTTGCGGTACCGCCGCGCCTCGGCCAGAATGGCGCCGAGATGGCGCCACCCGGAGAAGACTCGCAGGGGCGAGCCCGGGGGGAGGGCGGGGCCGGGGCGGGCTTTGAGGAAGGCGAAGGTGGGCAGCGCGAGGAGGATCCACCAGGCGCCGCAGAGGGCCACTGCGAGGCGCAGCTTGAGGGCAGGCGAGGAGGTGGGGAGCGTGGCGGCGAGGGCGAGGAGGGTTACGATGATGGAGGCGGCACTGGCACAGGCGACTGCCGTGAGGGAGAGGCGATTCTCTACCTGGTGAGGGTGGGAATGGTGGGGCACGGGCCAGGGGCACGAAATGCTCTGTTAGTTGCAAGGAGGGTGACGGCGATGGACGCTGCACTGGCACAGGCAACCGCTGTGGCACACATCTCCACCTGCTGGGGGCATGTGCGAATTGGGCATGGGGGGTTGGTGGGCATTGAGGGGACAGTTGGGCATGGCGGGAATGGTTGGGCAAGGCACGGGTGGTGATCGAATGGAAGGTGAATGGTGATGGGGAGGAGAGGGGGTGGGGGAGGATATGAAATCAGAGATGCTTCAAAATGCTTGCTCCCTCACCCTAACTACATGCTCCTTCTACCCACCTGCTCAACGGAATTCTAAGAACCCATTTGCACCGTGTCCCATTTGCATCTCCACCACCACGGCCTGCACTGGCAGCCCCGCCTCCTTTGCCTGCTGCACTTCGGGTGCCTGTTGCCTGTTCCCTCTCGTTTGATAAAAATGAGAAGTCTGACTCTATTTGAAGACAACCTGTCTCATCCCACCCACCCGCACCTGCGCCCTCATCTCATCCCACATGCTCCTTGGGCACCTTGGATTAATCCTAAGAATCCCTCTGTACCCCGCCCCACCTGCTCGCGCATCTCCACCACCGCCTGCACCGGCAGTCCCGCCGCCTCTGCCTGCTGCACCTCGGGGGACGCGTCCACCAGCACTGCCAGGTAGCTGGGGGGAGGGAGGTGGGTGGGGAGGACAAGAGGGGGAGCGTGGGGGAGGTATGGGTGCCTCAGTCTGCACGCAACGCGGCCTCAGTCTGTAGCTGTCTACGTGTACATGGGGCGGAGAGGGGGAGGGTAGGAGGGTATTGGGTGCCTCAGGCCATGCGTCTCTGCCTGCTACACCTGCACTGCACCTCAGGGGAGCGGTCACCAGCACTGCCAGGTAGATTGGGGAGGGAGGGGGGAGAGGGAGGGGAGTGTACGGGGTGCCTCAGGCGGTGCATTTTCTGCTAGCTGCACCTCGGGGGATGCGTTCGCCAGCTTTGCCAAGTAGACTGGGGGTGGGGGAGGAGGGGGGGGGGGAAATGGGGGGGAATTGAAGTGGGAGTACGGGGTTCTCTGGGTGAGTGATTGTGATGCGTGTCTGGCAGTTGCTCTGCCACGCTGGAAAACGTGTTTACCAGCACTGCCAGGTGGCTGAGCTGGAGTGGGGCCAGGGCTGAAGAGCTGAAGGTAGGAGGTGCGAGAGTGTAACTCTGGCACAATCTGTTTGCACAACCACATAGGTAGCAGTGGCGGGGTTGTGGTCACCTGTAGCAGTGGCGGGGCTGTGGTCACCTGTAGTAAGCAACGGTGGCGATGCCGTAGCCAATGTTGGCGATGACAAGCAGCACGGCGGCGAGCCACCACAGGGCCGGCGAGGCGAGGACGAGGCAGAGCACACACGCCACTGCTCCCATGTACGTGCCCACTTGCAGTAGCTGTTACGGGGAGTAGGAGGGGGAGGGGGAGAGAGGAGATGAGTTTTAAATGTATAAGCTTGGAAGCCACTTAAGAGCAAACACGCCGCTGCTCCCATGTACGTGCGTACCTGCAGTAGCTGTATGGGGGAGGGGGGAGGGAGGGGCAGGCGAGTGATGGGGGAAGGCGTTGAAAAGGAATGAGAGGCGCAAGAGAGGACGTGAGAGGCGCAAGAGAGGACGTGAGAGGCGCAAGAGAGGAGGTGAGAGGCTGCAGCAGCGACACGTGCAGGAGCACATGTGCTGCCGGGTTGACAGTCCAGTGATTGTTACACTTTGAGACAATACACATGGCATGGCATGGCATGGCCATCCCTTCTTCCACTTCCCTCCTGACCCCTTCTTCCACTTCCCTCCTAACCCCTTCTTCCACTTCCCTCCTAACCCCTTCTTCCACTTCCCTCCTGACCCCTTCTTCCACTTCCCTCCTGACCCCTTCTTCCACTTCCCTCCTGACCCCTTCTTCCACTTCCCTCCTGACCCCTTCTTCCACTTCCCTCCTAACCCCTTCTTCCACTTCCCTCCTAACCCCTTCTTCCACTTCCCTCCTGACCCCTTCTTCCACTTCCCTCCTGACCCCTTCTTCCACTTCCCTCCTAACCCCTTCTTCCACTTCCCTCCTGACCCCTTCTTCCACTTCCCTCCTGACCCCTTCTTCCACTTCCCTCCTAATCCCTTCTTCCACTTCCCTCCTAATCCCTTCTTCCACTTCCCTCCTAACCCCTTCTTCCACTTCCCTCCTACCCCCTTCTTCCACTTCCCTCCTGACCCCTTCTTCCTTCTTCCACCTTCCCATGTACCCCTTCCCGTTCCCAATCCCTCTCTCCGCTCACTCCTCCCACCCCACCCCCCACCTGTTTCCCCCTTTTCCCCATTCCCTCTCCCCCCGCACTCCTCCCCCCCTTCGCCCCCCCTACCCATTTTCCCCCCACGGCCAAAGTCAGCAAGCGGGCTGACAGTGACAAAGGACACGCCCAGCATGGCCGTTGCGATTCGCTCTCTCCCCCATCACGGAGGCATCTATGTACCTGCTTGCGCCCACGGCCAAAGTCAGCAAGGGGCCCAACAGTGACAAACGCAGCGACCTCAAAGAGCACGGACACGCCCAGCATGGCCGTCGCGAACGACACCGGGTTGATGCTGCCCCCGCCTGCCACTGGGATACCCGGCATGGGGGCCTCCGTGTACCTGGATGGGGGGTGGCGAGGTGCAAAATGACTCGTGTTGAAAGTTTGCAGTCACCGGCAGGAAACTCTTTCACGGGACCGGGTTCACGTTGCCGCTGCCCGCCACCAGGATGCCGGGAATGGGGACCGCAGTGTACCTGGGGGAGCAGGAAGGGAGGGGGGCAGGAAGGAGAAGGGGGGAAGGGGGGCAGAGGGGGGGATGGGGGGAGTGAGGGAGGTGGGTTAAAGAGGATCCGTTCTGAAAAGAGTCTGACACCGCATTGTGGGAATTATATTTTTCTTCGCCTCCGTGTCCTTGCGGGGTGGGGGTGGGCGCCGCCGCTGCTGGGCGCAATTCCCAGGTACATCCTCCCCCAATTCCCCCTCCCCCTTCCCCCGCGGACGTCTGCAGTTGCGTGTGTCAAGTTCGCTAACCAACTGGGCTAAAAGAGCATGTTTGCATAGCGGGTGAGCGCGCCCACGCCTCCCAAGCACTCAGCTTGTAGCCCTTCCGGCGCCAGACCAGAGGCCAATCCCAGTGTCCTTTCCACAGCGTGCCTTTCCCCGGCACGCACTGCAGGCACTCTCTCGTCACGTCCGCTCAGCCAAACCTCCTGAGTCGCGCGCGAACCAACTCGCGCGCGTTCACTTGCTCCCCCGAGTACCCTCAACCCCCCCCCACCTACCTCTTCCCCCCTCGCCTCATTCCTCACCCCGCCGAGGTCTGCAGCTGCGTGCCCTTCCCCGGCACGCACTGCAGGCAATCGCTCGTCACGTCCGCGCTGCACGCGGGCGGCTGCGGCGACGCCGCGTGCTGCCACGCGTATTCCGACGCGAGCGCGACGAGGAGCAGGGGGAAGAAGATGGGCAGCGCGGCGGAGTAGAATCCCGCCACCGCCGCGTCGTACCCGTACCACGCCCACACCTCGCGCTTCCCCGCGGGCGCCGCGCGCGAGCTCTCCCCGTCGATCTCCATCGGCGCGAAGCCCCCCGTCATTGCGCCGCGGCGCTGGCGGCGGTTTCCCCGCGACTGTTGGCAGGCGGTTACTAGTTCTTGCGCCTCTCAGCCGGCGGAAGTCGGCGGAAGCCGGCGGCGGCGAGGTGGCGGCGGGAACCGCGCAGCGCAGGGGGGAGAGAACGCCGCGCGAATTAGCGCACAATCAGGACTGGAGGGCGCGGTAATTGGGTGAAGCGCGGGGCGGGAGAGGCGAGAACGGTCGCGAAGAAGAGGCAGGCGCAGAAGTGGCGGGCGCAGTGATGGGGTGGTGCGCGGGGGGGCAGTGGCGGGGGGTCGGGGGAGGGCGGTGAAGGTGGTGTAGTGCGGTGGAGCTGTTATTGACGTGACCCAGTGAGAGGAGCGAGCGAGGCGAGGAATTGCGACAGGAGCAGATTGACGGCAGCGCCGGCAAAGGAAATCCTCTCTGGAGCGGTACTCGTTATTATCAGCAGCAATATCTCGTAACAAAATACTTCAGCTGGAGTTGAGGTGCTAGGGCTAGTTAGCAACTTAACTTTCAGAATAAGTGATGTTGATATATATATATATATATATATATATGCTGTGGTTACACTACAGGCTACATGCTCTGAGAACCAGCGCATTCACTGCATGCGTTGGCTGGAAGCTACAGCGCAGTGAGCGTTGCGGTTTCAACGTCCAGCTCCACGAGAGCACCAATGGCAGCCACTCTGTTGTCTTGAATCGTATCAAATCGAATATAATATCACAGTGCAGTGAGCGTTGCGGTTTCAACATCAAGCTCCACGAGAGCACCAATAGGAGCCACTCTGTTGTCACTCGTGTGGCCAATGGGAAGCCCCGCCAGCACCGGCAGCCAATGAGGGAGCGACACCTGTCCCAGCCAGAACCACTTGTCCCAGTCGCCTCCGTACTGCTCCTCCACGATTGGTCGAACACTCTCTGTGTGCGGTGGATGGAATGGGGAGTGAGAGGTAAGATGAACGGCTGTGGATGACAGAAGGAACATTTGGAATGAATGACTGTCCAAGCAGGGCAGTGGTGCAGAGGGAAGGGTGCAGGCAGTACTGTGGGGCGCGTCAAGAGCAGCTGCCACAGCGGCCCATGCCTTGGACTCAAAAGCATCCCATGCACCCGATACACCCCGTGCACCCGATACACCCCGTGCATACCTCGTGCCTCGTCACTCATGCCCTGGAAATTGGAGAAGGTTCCCAGAACCAGCCCTGACAGGGCCGTCACATGGCCCTGTGTGCCGTGCCCCCTGCCGGGGCAACACGCATGGGCATGATGGTAGGAGCCCAGGTCCTTCCATGGCGCATGGGCATGATGGTAGGAGCCCAGGTCCTTCCATGGCGCATGGGCATGATGGTAGGAGCCCAGGTCCTTCCATGGCGCATGGGTGGCAGTATGGGCAGCAGCATCAGCGGCAGCAGAATGGGCGGCAGCAGAATGGGCGGCAGCAGCATGTGAGTGGGCGCATCCCCTAGCATGGCAGGGAGGAGGGGCGGGGGGGAGCAGCGAGGGCAGCAGAGAGGGCAGCAGCTGGTGCAGCATGCGATCCACCCGGTACTCTTCCTCCCCCACTGCCACATGGCATGGGCAGCACAGAGACACGGAGATGGGAAGAGACGAGAAAGGCGCTTGATGAGCGGGGAGGGTGGTTCAAGGTTGCACAGCAGCTGGTCTGGTGCAGCATGCGATCCCCCCGGTACTCCTCCTCCCCCACTGCCACATGGCACAGGCAGCACGGGCAGCAGGGAGAATGAGGAGGCGGGATGGGAAGATTTGAGGAATGTGACTGGGACTACGGAGGCATGGCAGTGGCTAGGCTACAGATGCAGCAAAAGGGGGCGTGGTGCAAGGTTACATGGCAGGAAGAGCATAACGTTCGATTGAATCCGGCAAGAAGGCATTGCATAGGACGAGCCAAGCGAGGTCAGAAGTCGCACCATTCCTAGCGGATCATGAACATGTCACCCCATCCCATCCCACTCCATCCCATCCCACCGCATGCATGCCTGCCTCGCTTGCATCAGGTCGCATAGTATCACACCACACACGCCTCGACTCTCACCACACACGCCTCGACTCTCACCACACACGCCTCGACTCTCACCACACACGCCTCGACTCTCACCACACACGCCTCGACTCTCACCACACACGCCTCGACTCTCACCACACACGCCTCGACTCTCACCACACACGCCTCGACTCTCACCACACACGCCTCGACTCTCACCACACACGCCTCGACTCTCACCACACACGCCTCGACTCTCACCACACACGCCTCGACTCTCACCACACACGCCTCGACTCTCACCACACACGCCTCGACTCTCACCACACACGCCTCGACTCTCACCACACACGCCTCGACTCTCACCACACACGCCTCGACTCTCACCACACACGCCTCGACTCTCACCACACACGCCTCGACTCTCACCACACACGCCTCGACTCTCACCACACACGCCTCGACTCTCACCATCTTCCAGCATCAGAATCAAACCATCACTGCCCCCCGCGCCATCACTGTCCTCCGCACCCCCACCACCGCTGCTGCAGCAGCAACGGCACGTGTCTCGCCGCCCCGCTACCCATTTGGACCCCACCAGCGACGCCAGAACAGACAGATTGCCGCCCAGCAGCCGCCCTTGCACTCGGTTTGGGCGGCAGCAAGAGGAGGGATTGGCCAGCCAGCCCCTCTGGAGGCAGCGGCCCTGCGATGGATGGGGGGAAGGTGGAGAGGGGAAGGTGGAGGGGGAAGGTGGAGAGGGGAAGGCGGAGGGGGAAGGTGGAGAGGGGAAGGCGGAGGGGGAAGGCGGAGAGGGGAAGGCGGAGGGGGAAAGGCGGAGGGGGAAGGCGGAGGGGGAAGGCGGAGAGGGGAAGGCGGAGAGGGGAAGGCGGAGGGGGAAGGCGGAGAGGGGAAGGCGGAGGGGGAAAGGTGGAGGGGGAAGGCGGAGAGGGGAAGGTGGAGAGGGGAAGGCGGAGGGGGAAAGGCGGAAGGGGAAGGCGGAGGGGGGAGGCGGAGAGGGGAAGGCGGAGGGGGAAGGTGGAGGGGGGAAGGCGGAGGGGGAAGGCGGAGAGGGGAAGGCGGAGGGGGAAGGTGGAGAGGGGAAGGCAGAGAGGGGAAGGCGGAGGGGGAAAGGCGGAGGGGGAAGGCGGAGGGGGAAGGTGGAGAGGGGAAGGCGGAGGGCGAAAGGCGGAGGGGGAAGGCGGAGGGGGAAGGCGGAGAGGGGAAGGCGGAGGGGGAAAGGTGGAGGGGGAAGGCGGAGAGGGGAAGGTGGAGAGGGGAAGGCGGAGGGGGAAAGGCGGAAGGGGAAGGCGGAGGGGGGAGGCGGAGAGGGGAAGGCGGAGGGGGAAGGTGGAGGGGAAAGGCGGAGAGGGGGAAGGAGGAGGGGGAAGGCGGAGAGGGGAAGGTGGAGAGGGGAAGGCGGAGGGGGAAAGGCGGAGAGGGGAGGCGGAGAGGGGAAGGCGGAGGGGGAAAGGCGGAGAGGGGAAGACGGAGAGGGGAAGGCGGAGGGGGAAAGGTGGAGAGGGGAAGGCGGAGAGGGAAAGGCGGAGAAGGGAAGGCGGAGAGGGGAAGGCGGAGGGGGAAAGGCGGAGAGGGGAAGGCGGGGAGGGGAAGGCGGAGGGGGGAAGGCGTGGGGAAGAGAGGCGGGGTGGGGACGGAGGATATTGAGGGGCGAAGGGGAGCAAAGGGGAGGGGAACATTGCTCCATTAGGCGCCTCAGTAGCAGCCCCTCCGGAGGCAGCGGGCCGGTGGTGGATGAAGGGGGTTGGCGGAGGAAATATAGGGGGAAAGGCGGGGTGAAACAGAAGGAGAGCGGAGAATTGAAGGGTATGCAAGGGGATGCGTCAAGAGCCCAAAAGCTGACAGGAATTACAGCAGGGAGCAAGGCGCGAGGGAAGGGGGAGAGAGGTGGCAGGGAGGGCAATGAAGTGACGATAACCCGAAAAGCACCGGACATTTACCTAGAGGGCACCTGACCATCACCTGAAGCGGGGGGCAGGCGAGAGTGAGCGAGGGTTCGAAGAGGGCGGCACGGAGGGCTGCTCTGCTGGCGGTTGCTGATTGGTCGGTGAAGAATGATGTGGCTGGCATGGGCGCGTGGAAGGAGATGATTGGCTCTGCTAGCTCCGCCTGGAAGAAACTAACATGGGGGGAAAAAGGGGAAAGAGACCAAGCGAACAAGTGGAGAGAAGAGTAAAGGAGATACCAATAAGAGGAGGGGTGGGGAGGAGGGATTGAGCAGAGATGGTATGCGTGATGGTAGTTTGCACATGCAGACATGTGGGTTCACAGCTGAAAGTCTCGAGGGGGCATTGGTTCGGTGCCTCGGGCCTTGTGCAAAAGCAAAAGCAAAAGCATGGCTGAATCGGCAGGCAGGTTGAAAGACACGAGCATGGCTTGTGCACGCACGTGCTGGTTGAACAGGGCAGGAACCACACACTTGCACCATTGCGCCCACCTGTGCAGCGCCGTGACATCACTGAAGCCGAAGAATCGCTTGCGGCGGATCTGTGTAGCAAGACACGAGCGCCTGCTGCTGCCTTGCGCCACGTCAGCAGTAGAGCATCGTGCCACATCAGCACTGCAACCAGTTGATCTATCTGCACCTCTGCACCCACCATCGCCTCCTGCTGCCCTTTCACTCGCTGTCCCCACGCCCTCCCGTACCTCTGCACGCCCCTCCCCTCCATCCTCTCCTCCCCCCATCACCGTCCCCCTACTACCCCCCTCCTCCGCCACACACTCCGCCCACCCATCAACCCTCTGCGCCCATCCGCCTGCCTCACCCTCGCCCTCATTCGCCTTTCCTTGATCCCCCTTGCCCTCACCCCCAGTGCCCCCACACTCCACCCGCTCATTTCCCTTGGCGTGATGCCCCCTGTCCTCATCCGTCCTGCCCTCAATCGCTGCTCCTCCTTCCCCCAACACTGCCTCCGCGCCTCTCTCCAATTCCGCCTCCCTCTCCCCGCACTCCCAGCCTCCGCACTCCCATTCTCGTTCCCCCTTCCCCTCCGCCTCCCCTCCCCCCTCCCCCTGCCCCTCCCCCCTAAGCGCGCGCTCCAGCAGGGGCAGCAGGCGCGCACAGCCATACCCGCCCCGGGCGCACACCACTGCGCGCGTGGAGGGGTCCAGAAACGCCTCCACCAGACCTGCGGCTCTGGCTTGGTCCGAGCCTGCGAGGTAGGCTTGGCGCAGTGCGACTTGCGGATGCACGACCGGCACGAGCCCCCTGCCGAGCTCAAGAAGAGCGGGGAGGGCAGAACGAGGGGGAGGGGAGGGCAGAACGAGGGGGAGGGGAGGGGCAGAACGAGGGGGAGGGGAGGGCAGAACGAGGGGGAGGGGAGGGCAGAACGAGGGGGAGGGGAGGGGCAGAACGAGGGGGAGGGGAGGGGCAGAACGAGGGGGAGGGGAGGGGCAGAACGAGGGGGAGGGGAGGGGCAGAACGATGGAAAGGGGAGGCCCTGTGCTGAAATTACTTGTGAGAATTCTCAAAAGGGGGAGGGAGGCCCAATGGCGTGACAGCGCGTGGGGACACCTCGCAAGTGAGCAGCGGCAGTCACGATGTGTATGAGCTCGGTTTTTGAGTCGAGTCAAAAGCATGTGTATGAGCTCGGGTTTGCATTCCCAGCTACTCCCTCACTCACTCATTCATATGATCGCCCAGCTCACGGCACGTGCGAGCGGCAGTGCGGCGGCAGTGACAGCAGGTGTGTGCGTGCGTGTGCCTCAGCACACATGAACCGTGCGCGTCTCGTCACCACTCTCGCGCGTGAGTACGTCACAACGCACGAGCGAGCGCGTGTGTACGTCACAACGCACGAGCGAGCGCGTGTGTACGTCATTACTACGCACGGAAGGGAGGGTGCGTGCCTCACCACGACGCACGGAAGGGAGGGTGCGTGCCTCACCACGACGCCAGCACGTCGCAGCCTTGTCGCAGCAGTCGCGCGTCCACGGCCCCGGCGGGCGCCACGATGCTCACGCGGTCGCCCGCCCTCATTGCCGGCGGCGGGGCGGGACGAGACGGCGCGCTGGTACGGTTTGGCATGGCGCTCGTGGCGACGCTGAAGATGACGCGTCGCGTGCAGTCTGCTGGCAGGGTTGCGTTGCGAGCCGCGACGTCTAGCCGCCGCTACCTCGTATTGACCGGATTGCGAATTCCCCACAACCAAATGGTTTGTGTGGAACGTTCTCGCTACAGCTACAGCTGGCAGAATTTATTCATAATAAATTGGTTTGCATCGTTAGACGCCTGTTGATGTACCGTACTTTGCATTCAACGTTTCCCTTGATCGAATTTCAAGAGTTAGCCCCGCTGCCCAGTTAGCCCGTCGATCCCGCTAGCCTCGGCGCCTCGCGGCCCCGTTAGCCCGTCGCCCCCGCTGCCAGTCACGCCTAGGCCGCCCGTAGCCCCGTGCAGCCCGTAGCGCCTAGGCCGCCCGTAGCCCCGTGCAGCCCGTAGCGCCTAGGCCGCCCGTCGCCCCTAAGGCCGCCCGTCGCCTCGCGCATCCCGTCGCGCTTAGGAAGCCCTCTCGCGGGCCCCTCTCGTCGCGCGTAGAAAGGTCCCCGCGGGCCCTCCCTCTCGTCGCGCTTAGGTTGCCCCCCCCACCACCGCGGGCCCTTTCCGTCGCGCTCCTCCCGTCGCGCCTCGTCAATACGGGGATGCTGCTCGGTATCAGGTTCGGCAGTTACTCCGTGCATAGACTTGACAGTTGGCTCAACGGTACACTTGCAAACAGGCTCGGTCGTTACTCCGTGCGCCGCTGCGTTGGGCACGAGTGCGAGCGAGGAGGGGCGGCGGCAGTCGCGTGGAGAAGAGAAGGTGAAGGCGCGCGAGTGACTGGGGCTCGAGAGAGGGCCGGGCCAGCACCTGCACCTGCACCTGCAGCAGCCACTGCCACTGCCACTGCCACTGCCACTGCCAGCCGCGCGGGCGGTGAGCGCATGGCGAGGAGCGCGGGTACAGGGTTAGAGGGGCTTGACGGGCTGCGCGAGCAGGGCGGGGGGAAGGCGGAGGGACGAACGAGAGGGGACGCGCAGCAAGGGTGCACGGAGGGGAGGGAGAGGAGCGAAGCGGGCGAGAGGAGCGAAGGGGGCACGGGCGAGGGGATGTTGGCGCAAGGCCTGGCAGCCGGTGCATGCGAAGATGAGACGAGCGCGCGCAGAGGCCGCGGGCAGCTAGATCAGGGGGCAGCAGCGGGGCGGCCACGGGAGGAGGCGAGAGGCGACGGCCACGGGCAGGGGGAGGGGCAGGGGCAGGGGCAGGGGCAGGGGCAGGGGCAGGGGCAGGGGCAGGGGCGGCGGGTGATTGTGATATCGGGCCCCACAGCAGTGGGCAAGTCGCGGCTGGCGCTGGCGGTGGCGGAGGCGGTGCGGGGCGGCGAGGTGGTGAGCGCGGACTCGGTGCAGGTGTACCGCGGGCTGGACGTGGGGTCCGCCAAGGCCTCCCCTGACGAGCAGCGCCGCGTGCCGCACCACCTGCTGGATATCCGCGAGCCGTGGCAAGGTGGGTGGGGCGTGGTGGCGAGGTGGTGAGGTGGCGAGGTGGTGAGGTGGTGAGGTGGCGAGGTGGTGAGGTGGCGAGGTGGCGCATGTGAGCAGGAGCATGTGAGCAGGAGCATGTGCGCAGGAGCATGTGCGCAGGAGCATGTGCGCAGGAGCATGTGCGCAGGAGCATGTGCGCAGGAGCATGTGCGCAGGAGCATGTGCGCAGGAGCATGTGCGCAGGAGCATGTGCGCAGGAGCATGTGCGCAGGAGCATGTGCGCAGGAGCATGTGCGCAGGAGCATGTGCGCAGGAGCATGTGCGCAGGAGCATGTGCGCAGGAGCATGTGCGCAGGAGCATGTGCGCAGGAGCATGTGCGCAGGAGCATGTGCGCAGGAGCATGTGCGCAGGAGCATGTGCGCAGGAGCATGTGCGCAGGAGCATGTGCGCAGGAGCATGTGCGCAGGAGCATGTGCGCAGGAGCATCCCGCCTCAGAAGGAGGCTTCCCCCCCCTCTCCCCTCCCCTGTCATCCCGCCTTTGCACCCCGCAGAGTTCACTGCAGGCGACTTCTACGAGGCGGCGCGCACGGCCGTGGAGGGTGTGGTGCAGCGGGGGGGCGTGGCGGTGGTGGTGGGCGGCACGGGGCTGTACCTCGCATGGCTGCTGCACGGCCGCCCCGCCACGCCCCCCTCCTGCCCCGCGCTGGAACGCGCCGTTGCCCGCGAGATCGAGGCCGCTGTGATGCGCGCCAGGCAGGCCAGCAGGGGGGAGGGGGCGAGGGGAGATGCGAGGGGGGATGAGAGGGGGGATGAGAGGAGCGTAGCGGCGGTTGGTGGGGCAGAAGAGGCAGTAGGTGGGGGTGAGGGGGATGCAGCAGCGGGAAGGGCGTCAGCAGCCGACGCAGTGAGGGGCGGCTTGGAGAAAGAGTTGAGTGCTGACGGGAGGAGCGAGGAGGGCAACGATGGTGTGGGTGTGGGGGGAATGGAGGAGGCGATGGGGGGCCAGGCGATGGGGGGCCAGGCGATGGGGGGCCAGGCGATGGGGGGCCAGGGCGAAGCAGGGAGAGAGAGAGAGGCGAGGGAGCGGGGGTGGGCGAGCAGGCAGCCGCGTGTGAGGTATTCGGAGGAGGGCGACTGGGAGGCCGCTCTGGCTGCCCTTGCTGCTGCGGGCGACCCAATCACAGCAGGCCAGCTGGCACGGAATGACTGGTACCGGCTGACCAGGGCGTTTGAGATTCTCAGGGTATGTGTGCGTGTGGGAGGCAGTGTGTGCGTGTGAGGGGCACTGTGTGCGTGTGGAGGGGGCAAGAGTGGTGAAGAGGCAGGAGTGCTCAAAGCGTAGTCGTGGAGAGTGTCCGGCATCCAGCAGGCCAGGGACAGTGAGGGACTCTAAATCCCCCACGCCACCGTCCTCTCCGTCCCCCCTCTTCACCTTCAACACCATGTTCCCTCCTTTCCACGTCACGGCTTTGTTTTCCAAGCCTGTGTAAGCGTGTGCCTGTTTCCCCTCCCTCAGGCCACGGGGCGGCCTCGATCAGAGATCACCGTGCCTTCCCACCAGGCCAAACACACCTCCCCGCCTGCTGCTGCTGCTGCTGCTGCTGCTGCTGCTGCTGCTGCTGCTGCTGCTGCAGCCTCGTCACCTCCACCTTTCGCCTTCCATTGTTTCTTCCTGGACGCCCCTCGCCTGCCACTGTACCGCCGAATAGATCGACGCTGCGAAGAGATGGTGCAAGGTGAGGCGAGCCTTGCTGCTTTCAGGTGAGGCGAGCCTTGCTGCTTGCTTGCTAGGTGGAAGGACTTATGGCCTTTGAGATTCTACCGAGCAAATGCTCGTACGTGGTGACTCCAGTCCGCTGCACCCTCCTTTCACAGCGTGTTTTTTGAGAATTCTCAAAAAACACAAATGCTCGTACGTGGCGACTCCAGTCCGCTGCACCCTCCTTTCACCATTGCCCTCACCTGCACCACTTGAGTCCACACTCCTTCCACCAACCCACGGCTCCGGCCCCCTCGCCCTCATGCATCCATCTCTTGCCTTCCTCTTCATGCCCCATCGTCCCATGCCCTCTCTCGCGCTCTCTCCGCCCGTGCAGCGGGCAGGCGGGCTGCTGGAGGAGAGTGTGGCGCTGCTGCGGGCGGGCCTGCACCCCGAATCCTCATGCATCCATCTCTTGTCTTCCTCTGCATGCCCCATCGCCCCGTGCGCTCTCTCCGTGTGGCCGGTTGGCAGGCGGGCTGCTGGAGGAGAGTGTGGCGCTGCTGCGGGCAGGGCTGACCCCCGACTCCTCCTCGCCCACACACATGCCACATCCTCCCGTGCCCTCTCCCGTGCCCTCTCCTCCCATGTGGTCGGCAGGCGGGCTGCTGGAGGAGAGTCTGGCGCTGCTGCGGGCAGGGCTGACCCCCGACTCCTCTTCGCCCACACACATGCCACATCCTCCCGTGCCCTCTCCCGTGCCCTCTCCTCCCATGTGGTCGGCAGGCGGGCTGCTGGAGGAGAGTCTGGCGCTGCTGCGGGCAGGGCTGACCCCCGACTCCTCCTCGCCCACACACATGCCACATCCTCCCGTGCCCTCTCCCGTGCCCTCTCCTCCCATGTGGTCGGCAGGCGGGCTTCTGGAAGAGAGTCTGGCGCTGCTGCGAGCGGGGCTGCACCCCGACACCTCCTCGCCCACACGCGCCATCGGCTACCGCCAGGCCATGGCCTTCCTGCTGCACTGCCAGCGCCTCATGGGGCAAGCGAGGACCAGTGAGGAGCCAGGGCAGCAAGAGCAGCAGGTTGAAGAGCAGCGGGTGGAAGAGCAACGGGTGGAAGTGGCGTTGCAGGAGGCGCTGCAGGCAGCGCTGGTGGCGTTCATCTTGGAGTTTCAGCAGGCGTCGCGGCGCTACGCCAAGCGCCAGATCACGTGGTTCCGCTCCCAACCACTCTTCCGATGGCTGCCCGCTCACACGCCCCTGGTGAGAGGAATGGCCCCCCTGTTGAGAGGAATGGCCCCCCTGGTGAGAGGAATGGCCCCCCTGTTAAGAGGAATGGCCCCCCTGTTGAGAGGATCGCCCCCCTGGTGAGGCAGTGTCAAACAATAGAAGTGCGTGAAGTCGCAGAGGTGCGTGAAGCAGCCGTGTGTTGATGTGTGTCAAAGCGCTTGGTGATTACTGCTGCCTGCTTCTCACCTGGCCCATGTGAGCTGCTGTACTCGTGTGCAGTTGCTCACTCGATTCCACGGCTCCATGTTCCCCCTCCCCCTCCCCCCTGCCCTCCATGTTCCCCCTCCCCCTCCCCCCTGCCCTCCATGTTCCCCCTCCCCCCTGCCCTCCATGTTCCCCCTCCCCCCTGCCCTCCATGTTCCCCCTCCCCCCTGCCCTCCATGTTCCCCCTCCCCCCTGCCCTCCATGTTCCCCCTCCCCCCTGCCCTCCATGTTCCCCCTCCCCCCTGCCCTCCATGTTCCCCCTCCCCCCTGCCCTCCATGTTCCCTATCCCCTCTGCCCTCCATGTTCCCCCTCCCCTCTGCCCTCCATGTTCCCCCTCCCCTCTGCCCTCCATGTCCCCCCTCCCCTCTGCCCTCCATGTTCCCCCTCCCCTCTGCCCGCCCCAGGACGAGCTGGTGGGGATGGTGCTGCGCGACTTTGATGGGTCGACGGGTGGGGAGGTGCAGGCAGGTGGGGAGGTGCAGGCAGGTGGGGAGGTGCAGGCGGGTGGGGAAGGGCAGGGCGATGGAGAGGAGCAGGGGGGTGGGGAAGGAAGATTTGGGGCAGAGAGGGAAGGGGGGCAGGGTCGTGTTGGAGGAGGGGGCAGTGGGGGGGCGTGGGAAAAGGCGGTGAGGCGAGAGCATCGCAGGGAGAGCAAGGAGGAGGAGCGGGCGCTGAAGGGGTATCGGGCACAGCTGGAGTACGACTCATGACTCTCTCTCACCCCCCCCTCGCATGCTCTCTGCATCTTCCACCCTCTCTTGCGCTCGTGCCTGCACTGCACTGTCCTCACCTGCTCTCTTCAGTTTTCGCCTGCTCTCCTCTTTCCTCGCTTGCTTGCTCTCATTTGTCCACCAGTGCATGGGTGGTGTGCATCATGCCGAGCAGGCAGTGTCAGACCAGCCGTCCATACAGCTTACCGTGCTGTCCTGCCCCCCCCCCCCCCTCACCCGCCCGATGTGTGTTTCACAGGATTTACTGTGACCAGAATGCCATCGATGCCACGCTGGCGTGGATTCGAGCCAACGTCACGCCGCACCAACAGGGCTCACAGAGCGAGCAAGGCAACGCTGTTGCTGCAGGTGTGCCCCTCGTAGAGACATGAGGGGAAGCCGCAGCACAGCCTGCTATGATAACTTTGAGAATCCATTCATGGCGTGTTCCTACGGCCTGTTATCAGGCTAACCTCTTCTATTCAGGCTTAATGCTCCACGCAGGTGATAAGACACAGACTTTAATGTAAAAGTGTTGCGCGATGAACCAGTGCTGACTTCAGGCTTTAAAATCAGCAGTGGCTTCAAAGCACTGTTATGAAATGTGAAACCAACTTTATGAGGTTGCTACACAATTTGATTTGCACTTGTTACATGTTTCGCTTCGTGAAGGGTCTCGCGGCCTTGAAAGGCCACACAATCCGTGCGGTGCAGACTTTGCAGCCACTCAGTGACCCCCACGTGCTCTGCACGACGCCATTTTCCAGTGGAGGGATGCCTCCTTGGGATTGGGGGGAAGGTAAGCTGGTCGTCCCCGCCACACCCTCCTCGAGCACATCCCCGCTGCAAGCCGGCTTGGCAACACCACAGAACGGTGCTGTTCAGTCCTGCGGCAGCGCATCACCAGAGTGAGGGCGACGTGTGCGGGGCACTGTTTTTCGGCGGGAAGAATCTGCGCCCGAGGACACTACTACACCAAGACACCATGCATTTTCTAGGGCGCTCCGCTTTCAGTCAAATCGTTCCGCTCATGTGTCCGCCATCCGCCAAAGTCCACGCTACAGACGTGGTTCTGTTTACCTGAAATATGGTTCAAAACGTTACAGAGTGGTGACATCATCTTGTCGCCTCCTCGCAGCATAGCTGCTGTGAAAGGGCGACCTGAACTGAACCACTGGATGCAACCTTGGTACGGGTAGTGCAACAATTCATTATGATCGTCGCCTCGCCATAGAATGCCCGATTGAGAAATAGCCGCATCCCCCTCCCCCATCTCCTCCCACTCCTTTCCCCTCCCCTCCTCCCCCTTCTCCCTCCCCTCCCCTCCCTCCCCTCCCCTCCCCTCCCCTCCCCTCCCCTCCCCTCCCCTCCCCTCCCCTCCCCTCCCCTCCCCTCCCCTCCCCTCCCCTCCCCTCCCCTCCCCTCCCCTCCCCTCCCCTCCCCTCCCCTCCCCTCCCCTCCCCTCCCTCCCCTCCCCTCCCCTCCCCTCCCCTCCCCTCCCCTCCCCTCCCCTCCCCTCCCCTCCCCTCCCCTCCCCTCCCCTCCCCTCCCCTCCCCTCGGTGAGCATTTTCTCCGCCCTCGAGCGCAAGTTGGTCCCCTCACTGCGCTGCGCCATCTCCTTGCGCAGCACTCCCTGTAATGTTACCCACCCCTCCCCCCTTCCCCACGTTTCAGTGCAACCAGAGCGCCATGGAAGTGCGTCAGACAACGTGTCGGGTAGAGCACGCATAGATGAGTCACACGCTGTGCTGCCGTCAAACCATTCGAGTCGAGACGAGAGCCTCGATGCAGCCGCAATATTGCTGGAATATTTGGAATAGTTGGAATAAGAGTCAATGGATGTGGCTGTCTCGCGAGTCCGTGTGAGGCTCCGGTCACTTACTGCTGATCGTCACGCAGCCTGCAGTGCAATGAGCGCAAGGAAATGCATTTAGAGTGGTTAACTTAATTAGCCAACAGCGGCTGCTTGGGTTAGGTCAGAGGCGAACGGACTAGCCCGCATAGGAATTAGGTCGCACGGCGTCCGTTGCTAGCAAGAATACCTTCATTGTTCATTATTCTGCTTGAATATTCTTAAACAACAGTAACTATTAGTCATCATGTCGTCGACGTCTAAATCCAAGTCGCGCGTGCGCCTCTCGCGGCTCCTCTCATACGCGGGGTGCATCCGGCCCCGCGCAGACGAGAGCGAGCTGGTCGGAGAGAAGGGCTTTCAGCGCCACGTGTACTGCAACGAGCCGCATCACCACGTGGAGAAAGGCAGTCCGCTTCGTTATTGTAACAACTCAATTTCCACCACTAAATACTCGATACTGTCCTTCCTCCCCAAGGCGCTATTTGAGCAGTTCCGCCGCGTCGCCAATCTCTACTTCCTGCTCTGCGCCATCCTCGCGCTCACGCCGTTAACGCCGTACGCGCCGTACAGTCTGATCGCGCCGCTCGTGCTGGTGGTGGGCGTGAGCATGATCAAAGAGGCCATCGAAGACTGGCGCCGATATCTTGCCGTGAGTTCTGGTCACAGTCACGGATGTGATTGTAACGGATGTCTTTCAGGAACATCGCAATGAGCTAGGGGGTTCGAGGAGCGGTTGGAACCAGAATGGAGGGTGAAATGGTTGTTGGGCTAACGGTCTTTCCGACGCAACGCAATCAAGCTCCCTCTTTCCCCTCTTGTAACCTCACCTTCCCCCCCCTCGCCCCTCCCCCTTCCCCTCTTCTCCCGTCTTTCCACAAGCTCCCACGCCGTTCCTCCTCCCAACCCTCGTCCTCCAGCCACCCCACCCCTCCCCCGTAACCCTTTTCTTCCCACTTCCCCCTAGTACTTTACCCCACCCATCCCTCAATTCCCCCTTCTCTCCCCCTCCCCCTTCACCCCTCACTCACCCCTCTCTTTTTCCCCCTCCCCCTTCCCCCTCCACGTCCGCCAGGTCGACGAGGTGAACAAGCGCAAGGTGCTGCGCCACGTGGAGGGGCGACTTTTGAGGCCCCTCACACGCCTCTTTACCCATTCCCCTTCCCCCTTCCCCTTCCCCCTTCCCCTTCCCCTTCCCCCTTCCCCTTCCCCTTCCCCTTCCCCTTCCCCGTCCGCCAGGACGACGAGGTGAACAAGCGCAAGGTTCTGCGCCATGTGGGCGAGGGGCGGTTCGAGCCGTGCGAGTGGAAGGCGGTGCGCGTGGGCGACGTAGTTAAAGTGCTCAAGGACGAGTTCTTCCCCGCCGACCTCCTAATGCTCGCCTCCAGCTACCCGGACGGCGTGTGCTACGTCGAAACAATGAATCTGGACGGCGAGACGAATCTTAAACTGCGTAAGGCGCTCGAGCGCACGCTGCCGCTCGAGGACCCCGAGGTGCTGGCGAAATTCACGGCGGAGATTAAGTGCGAGGACCCGAACCCGAGTTTGTACACGTTTGTAGGGAATCTAGAGTGGGACGGCGAGGCGACGTCGCTGACCGCGGCGCAGGTGCTGCTGCGCGACTCGAAGCTGCGCAACACGGCGTGGGTGGTGGGGGTGGTTATTTTTACCGGCCACGACAGCAAAGTCATGATGAACTCGACCACGGCGCCGTCGAAGCGCAGCTCGATCGAACGGCGCATGGATAAGATCATCTACTTCCTCTTCGCCTGCCTGCTGCTGATGGCGATCGTGGGGAGTATCATTTTCGGCATACGCACCAAGAATCAGATGCCGTCCTGGTGGTACCTCGCGCCGACCGATACTGACGCGTACTACGACCCCGCGAAACCCGCCACGTCGTCCGTGCTGCAGTGCCTGACGGCGATCATCCTGTACGGTTACCTCATCCCTATTTCGCTATACGTGTCGATCGAGATCGTTAAGATCTTCCAGGCGTGGTTCATTAGCGCTGATCGCGGGATGTACTTCGCGGAAACGGACATGCCGGCGCGCGCGCGCACGAGTAATTTGAACGAGGAGCTAGGGCAAGTGGATACGGTGCTAAGCGACAAAACGGGCACGCTGACGTGTAACCAGATGGATTTCCTCAAGTGCTCCATTGCCGGCGTCGCGTACGGCCGCGGGATTACCGAGGTCGAGCGCGCCACGGCGCGGCGGCTCGGGCGCGATCTGAGCGAGCTGGAGGATTACGACGAGGAGGAGGAGCGCGTCGCGGCGGAGGCGGCGGCGAACGGGACGGCGAAGCCGGGGGTTAAGGGGTTCGCGCTGCGGGATAATAGGCTCCTGGACGGCGCGTGGCTGCGCGAGCCGCACCGCGAGGAGATCCGCGCGTTCCTGCGCGTGCTGGCCGTGTGCCACACCGTCATTCCCGAGGTGGACGAAGCTTCCGGGCAGGTGGAGTACGAGGCGGAGTCGCCGGACGAGGCGGCGTTCGTGGAGGCGGCGCGGCAGATGGGCGTGGCGTTCTTCAAGCGCACGCAGACGACCGTTTGGGTGCGCGAGCCGGACGAGACAGGGCAGAACACTGTTGACAGGTGAGGGGGGGTGGAGCAGCGTGCAGGGGTGAGAAGGGAAAAAGCAACGTGGACGGGTGAGGAGGGGAGTCATCCCTCCCCTCATCATCTCTCCCCTCATCATCCCTCCTCTCATCATCCCTCTCCTCATCATCCTTCCCCTCATCATCCCTCTCCTCATCATCCTTCCCCTCATCATCCCTCTCCTCATCATCCTTCCCCTCATCATCCCTCTCCTCATCATCCTTCCCCTCATCATCCTCCCCTCATCATCCCTCTCCTCATCATCCCTCTCCTCATCATCCCTCTCCTCATCATCCCTCTCCTCATCATCCCTCTCCTCATCATCCCTCTCCTCATCATCCCTCTCCTCATCATCCCTCTCCTCATCATCCTTCCCCCTCATGCGACTGGGAGAGAATATGTGATCCTGGCAGTGACCGCTCATTGCGGATTGTTGTACCCATTCACATCTAACAGGGAGTACACGATCCTGGCACTGATAGAGTTCAACTCCACGCGTAAGCGCATGTCAGTGGTGGTCCGAGACCCCTCCAACCGCATCCTCCTCATGACCAAGGGCGCCGACTCCGTCATATACGAGCGCCTAGCGCCCACCGGGCGGCAGCATTTGGAAGCTACCCGGGCCACGCTGCACCGGTACGGCGAGGCAGGGCTGCGGACGCTGGCGCTGGCGTACAGGGAGTTGAGTGAGGAGGAGTGCGGGGAGTGGCTGGAGCGGTTTGAAGGGGCGCGGAGGAGTCTGAGTGCGGAGAGGGAGGCGCTGGTGGATGCTGCTGCGGAGGAGATTGAACAGGGGCTGACGCTCCTGGGGGCCACTGCTGTGGAGGATAAGCTTCAGCAAGGGGTGAGTTGGGTGGGGTTGGGAAGGGTGTGGGTGGGAAGGGAGAAGGAAGTTGACCAAGAAGCACACAGAAGCAGGTCGGTAAAGGGAGGTTTAGG